CCGCTTGAACCGTTCGACGATTCGCGACGGGCGAGGCAGAGAGGAAAGACGCGAACGTCGGATCGACGTAAAGAACGGAAGACGAGAGAGCGACTGACAAGAAGAGAAGCGAAGAGGAGTGAAGTGGAGGGGACGTGAAACAGACGAATCGAAAAAGGGGAAGGAAGCGTTTTCGTACGACGGAACGGTCGTCGCTGGTCGAACCGTTCGAAATATCGAGCTACGGCATGTGGAAACGCGTCGAACCGAACGTCGCTGTTTCTTTTTCCACGAGGACGAAACGTCATCGCGCGCGTTCCAATCTGAAACGGTCTCGATTCTTTCGCTCAAGATGGGCGGCAAATTTCAACTCTGAGCTTCTTTGCGCCCCGTCGAATCAACGCGCGAAGAAGATCTCGATCTTGGCCGCTGGGATTCCGAGTCGGCTTCTATGTCAGCGGTTCGCCCGCTCGATGATTTAATCGGACCGCGAACGAACTCGTTGCACCGCGAGACGGCTCGAGACACGAAACGACGCGATCGTCTCCGTGAAACGAATTGAACGCGTTCGGCCAACCTCGCGGTCTCTTTTATCGCCGAGCGAGACGATTTCGTGAAAATTCGCGCGCGTTTCTCTAACGCGCGAAACGAAATTGACGATGGCATAGAGGGTGGGAGACGAACAACCGATAACAAACGGTCCGCGATTGGCCGTCGAACGGAAGCGAGCGAACGCTAGGAGAACGGTAGGGAATCGATCGCGCGTCGATCGATCGAACGATCGAAACGAGTTTAAGGATGCGTCGCGTCGCGTCCCGTCGCGGTCTCGCTCGGATTTTTAGTACCACTGTGTTCGATACCAAATAACCGTTATCTGTACCAAATATACGTATACGTCTCGTTATCGTGTCATAGATTATACGCAGTTACGCTCGCTGAACGATTGAATCGATTTAACGAGAGAAATACAGAAAGGCGCCGGACGCTAAAAAATAAATAAGAAAGTCGAGGGCCGCTATTTTTTCGAGACGTTGCCCGGTTCAAGAGTCGAGAGCATCGCGGCCGATCGAGAATAAACCGTATCGTAAATAAGTCGCCGTCGCGTGAATTATTTACCGATCGATGCTCGTCTCGTTACCGCGAACTTTCGGCTCGCGCTACCTCTCGCACCCGTCCTACTTCGGTCCCGATTTCGATCCCGTTCCCGATCCCGATCACCGATCCAGTTCACGATCGCGGTTACCGTGACTCTCCCTTTCTCCCGCGTTCGCGGCAATCGCTGATTTTCCTACGGTGCTCAATTAATTGCAAGTACAAAACAAAGAAACTATTTTTGCCGAATCGCGCGGACACGATTCGCTCGGTGAACGTCGAATAACTCTGTCCAAAGACGAGCTCGAGTAACGCGACGCGTCTCTCCTTTCGTTTCAAACGAATCGAATCGCGATACGATCTCCGTCGACGGACTCGTACCTTCACGAATCGGGATCTCGGCGGGCCACC